TCTAATTACCCGGAAAAAAGCGTAGGGAACAACAGACCTTCGTGATTTAGAACTAGCACTTTGAATAGATTTGTTACGGTACGAATAGCTATTTATCGGGGAAAAGTATGCTGCCTATAGATTCCAAAACAATTTGACTGAATGTAAAGCAATATACCCAATACATTTTGTACTGATCCATCAAGTTGGAAAGTCACGAATATCAATCATTTGAGCATTTCTTGGATCAAATTGTAAATATGAATTTATCAACAATAACCGTAATGTCTACGTGCTTTGTTGCGTTCACCCAAATTCGATAATCATTTTTACCGGATAACTATTATGAGTCATAACTACGTATCTTTAAGGAATGAAAATATTCCAAAGTTTTAGTAAGATGTTGTATTCAAATATCATATCGAGTAAATTTTAAAAACAGAGAAAATGGCGCTACAGTATTATAGTTAACATCAACATAAAGTTATTCTAGATTCATTTTTAGATTGTTGAAAGATTCGAAGATCGCTTGTGTCATCAACAAATTAATGAAATGCCTAGATCGAAATTGCAATCATACGGGGCAAATATCCCGCATATATTCGGCTGTGATTATAAATGTATTAAATAAATAATAATAAAGTACTACGTATAATATAACATACAGTACACTAAAACTCGGATATTGAGGTTCTTTTTATTTTAATAGACTTAAAATGAACATGGCTTTAAATTCGATATGAAAAAATATATCACAGTATAAAACTTTATTGAATATAAGAAAATTTTTTATTTACATATTTCAAGGGGTATTTATGACGTAATTTAATGTGAAGCATATGATTATTAAATTAATGATATACTGTAAGTCCACCTTTAGATATTATTATTGTACAGCTCAAAACATTGTATGCATGATTGTTCTTTTTTTTTTTTTTAACTGATCGAGAAAAAAAAAACCATGATATTTTTTTCTTGTAAAATTTTCGAGTAATATTCTTGTCCTCAAAACAAAATGAAACCAAAAACCTAGTAATTATAATAATGAACAAAGGGCATAACCGCACCCCGATGTCATCATTCTTAAAATTCGTGTAAAGGAATGGTTAATCGATGATGCAGTTTATAAATAAAATGAATGCCGAGAAAAGAAGACAAGAAAGAATGTTATTTTTATTCATGTTATCCGCAATTATTATCCGTCAAATCTGATGTAGGGACGAATAAGAGTACATTTCCTTGATTAATATCGAATTGACTCTGTTGCTGAATTTGATGTTGTTGAGCAAGTCGGTGGTCCGAGTTTGAAAATGAGTTTCCTTGAATAACATCGAATCGATTATGTCGGGAAGTTTCTTCGGGATCGTGATCGTGTGGATCATTATATTGATGGCCTGGTGGATTATTTAAATTGTTATTGAAATTATTCGCCATTTTATAGATTTGTCTTTAAAATTGCGTTTGATCGGGTAAATTGAGAAGAAGAAATGATTTGAAATTTTCTTCATGGGAGATTCGGCTTTTATACGTTCTCGCAGATGCATATTTGATACTAAGGTATTAAGTATCTATTAATGAGCTAATTACTAATGGCTTAGGCGACAATAAACTTTTAAAATATACAAAAAAGAAAAAATTTTTTTCCACAATATTCTAGGTTATTCTCTCATTATTGGTATTCCTCTCTTGCATGATTTCCATTTTATTTTATCATCAACACATGTATATGTATAAACATGACGCATTAAAAACTTTTGATTGGATTTTGTCGCATTAGAAAGTTTTGGCTTCTGCTCTTTTAAGTAACTTCTATCTAAAAATCATGGATTTAGAAGAGATAAAACAACAATTAAATAAGAAGAAAAGAACAATAATAATAGAATGAGGAATTATAATTCCCCCTAAAGATGAGCCCCGTTCCATAAAATAAAATAATAAATGAAGAGGTGCTATATAAATATGAAAATCGAAAAAAAAACGCCGTTGAATTCCCATCAGGAAAGATCTAGCCTTTATTTAAGGATTAGTAAGTACACAACAAGACGCGCATGCAAGTATTACATAAATTGGCGACAAGAAAAGCACGCCAAACTCTTATGCCAAAAAAAATAATATGAAAGAAAACATCTATTATAAAGACGATAATACCCGAATTAAACGTGTTGGTTTAATGAAACGAAAATATGATACGATGGAGTCATGTGCTATACAAGCATTCTTTGATCTCAATTTTTTTATACTTTTCCGTAATAAAACAATTATTTTGCATCGTACGTGATCAGAATTAGTTTAGTGTTCCAAATGAACGTAATTCTGACCTGATGATTAATAGATTTCAAAAAATAGTTTTCCGATATTTATCCTAATCAGGAATATATCGTAATATGATTACTTATTCTATACAATTTAACTCTTGTATAAATAATAAAAGCGTGATTTTTTGGTTTTATTATTAAAAATTAGAATTGTGTGAGTCTTGAATATTTTTATTCGTAAATTATTTTCGAGCAAAGTATGGCATATGTGTTATTGACAATTAGGTTCCTGCGTAAACTTATTTGAATTTCAAAAATTATATTTTAGAAATTGTTTTGAATAATTTTATAATGTTAATAGTATTATCTTTTTTTTTTTTTAAAAAAAAAAAAAACGCGTAAATTACGATACTTTATTGGAATGCATTGCATGAAACAAAATTTGTAAAACCCTGTAAAAGAAAAACGAATGCAAGTAGTTTTAATATGACTCGCGTGCTTTTAATTAATGTATTGATTAACGTCGGCATGCTAATATGAAAGATTTGACTTCGATCTATGACAGAGCATTCTATCAGAGATGCGTGCTAACAATGGAAAAATTAATGATTTTATGTTTACATATAATATGGGCAAAATGAGTACTGTAATAGAAAAAGGTGGGACGTAATAAGTACATAGATTATGCACCAGTCTGGAGGATTGCATGACGCATCGTCTGTTTTAAATTTGCCGGTTCGAAACCTAACTGGTAGACCACGGTATAGTTACAAAAATATTTATAAAGTATATTTGCAAAACAAAAGTACGCACGTACACAAAGTTTTCGAAATATGAATCTTGATATGTGCTTACGTATAAATTTGGCATTGTAATGTAAACCGTCAAACAGGCTGAACTAAGTTCAATTAACTGATCCGAGGCACTGACGATAGTCATGCATGTGCTACAGTATTACTGTACGTATTACTGTACGAGGATCATTTTTTGTATCAGATCTGTGTAATAAAATTGCGTGTAATCTGTTTGGTGCTTGCTTTCTTCGCTGTCCGACCTTGTTCTGACTCTTTCGTATTCGTTCTCTCCCATCTCTCCCGAAAAAAAAGGAAATGGTAATGCACGATATTTTTGCATGGGTCTTAGGTAAGTAGGGATATTGTGCTCATTGTACATTTATCATTCGTGAGGGTAAGAGTCGAAATAACAGAGTGCGCCACATCCTCGCATGAGTCACCTATTGAGATTACTGCACCACACCATTGTGTGAGCCAGCATTGAAGTATATGACAAAACAGAAGTACGAGAGTTTATTTCTCCAGATGATTATACTAAAAAAATCAAAATCAAAATTCGATCCTCTGATTTTTCCAAAAAGAAAGATTATATTAAGTTAACAGGTATATGGGATATTAAGAATGATTAAGTGAAAGATGAAGTAGAGATAATGGTGCGGATAGTAATTCTGTAAATTTATAAATTTAGAATATGTACGGTACAGAAGGTAGCGTAGCAGAGGACTACTCTAAATCCCTAGCGATATTATACTTCACTACAAGCACAAATATCAATTGAAATGGGTTAATGTAATGTCTAAATCAGTCTTGGGAATGTGATAGTTAAGATTACTTGTCTAATAAAGAAGCGAATTGTTCGAAAAGGATACTATAATGGATTGCTCAGGGACTTGCGGCAATATAAAAAGTCAAGATAATGAAAACTGCAGCGGACCCTGGTCAAAGTTGCTACCGTTAAAATCGTTTCTCAGACAAACCGCAATTAGAGCCTTTAGGCTAAGGATTCTACTCCTTTGAGTTAGACCGTAACTACAATAGTCATCAGTTCTACTTAGAGGTTAAATAAATATTGCAGTCACATAAATAATATATTTTGATACATTGTAATTGAAGTGCCCCGATAGACCTTGTTTACATTTGCATCTTAAGAATAAAACCTTTTTTGATATTTATGGCGTGATGCAGTATAATTTTATTGAACACGACCTACAATGTTATCTCGCATGATTTCTAAATTATGCGATACTGTACAACGAATAAGTTCTGTATAACACGAAACTTTAACTGAATAAACTTTGTGTTATAGCCTACTCAAAATAAGAAAAAAATTTTTTACTACGATTTCTATAAGAATGCTCTACACTGGCTTTTTGCTTGCAGCAACATCGAAAATCTCTCTTTATTGATATATAGGAAACTCTCTTAAAATTTAAATAAACACGCTGAGAACTACAATATGAATATACAGTAGCACAGTAATCTATTTGTAATCGTAACTTCAATCCTATAATCATTTTTTCGTACAAGCAGCATAAGGGTCCAGTAAAAAAATACAAAAGGTGATACTATATGAAAATTGAAATCGCTCAACAAAAAACAAATGATTTCCATTGATGCAAATATAATTATCTAGATGAAAATATACAAATAAATTGTCATATGCGCACAGAAAAAGATTTTTTAAGAAAAAAAAAACAAATGACAAATAAATAAAATGACCAAAAGAATTAAAGTTATCACGAAAAGAAAAATATTTATACAAAGGTATATACAGTATATATAATGAATTGGTTCTTAAGAATGTGATTAATTACCATAATTTTGATCATTATCTCCCATAATTACGATCTCCGCAAAATCTGGGACATTGGATATTTGAATAGAATCAAATGATATCGTGTTTCCCAGATAATGATCAAATTCATTTTGTTGGGAATAAGTATTTACACCTTGCGCTTGAACTCGAGTTTGCGTTTGAGTTCGAGCATGAGTTCGCGCTTGGACCCGAACTCGAGCTCGAGCATGAGTTCGCGTTCGCGCTTGAACTCGAGTTTGTAAATAATTTCGTGGAGTCACATGTGTGAGTCCACGCTGTCGAATAAGTTTTCGATTATTCGCCATAAATAATCAGTCTTAAGGTAATACTGTATTTTGTTAGTCAAAGAATTCTTGGACAAAAAATATTTAAATAATGTGTGTGTAAACGATGAGTAAAAAGGCAAACTCGAATATTTATACATATTTCGCTTATATTGATTTTATAGCGACGACTGTTACAACATGTAAATATCCGATATTTACGCATAATAAACTATTGTTTAAGAAAAAATTTTTTCTGGGTTGTTTTTTTCGATTTCGGAAGGAATCATTGCAAGAAAGAATTTTGGTTAATTTGCATCTTATTTTTTTTTCACCAAACTTTTTTTCTTTATCAAAATATTAACGCCCAACATTGCAAAAATAAAAGGCGCTAAACTAGAATATTGCATCAATAGATCCTGTTCTTTTTTTAAAGCATAGTATAGGGGTCAATAATAAAAAACATTAGAATCAATTATATTAAGGAAATAAAATACACCTGTATTTAATATATCGTCAATGCATCCACGCATCATATCATCTTTATCATTATTACGCAGTGATTAGAACAATCTCTTATTGAATGCTGTATACGACTCGTGCTCCTTTTTGATCGCCAAAGGTCGTGTAGATCACATTCTCTTATTTCTCATCAAATATTAAAATATGTTACTTCGCGAACACTTTGAGTTATAATATTTTCGTACATGATAATTATGAGTTATAAGAAATAATAAAAATATAAAAGAAGTGTTATATTCGTCAGAACAGTTATCTGTATGTGTTAGCACTGATCATCTCATTATCTTTTTGATCTGAAAGTGGTTTTACGGAGTCAAACGTATTTAAAAGGCAATAGCAATTCATGTATAAAAAATAACTGAAATATTCTCAAGAGGTGTACGAATGATATCACAAGCTCGTGAACGCCATCATAAAGGTCAGGAAAACACCGAGAAACAACTTGTGCATAGCCGGCACATGAGAGCTTCGTTTTTATTGAGAAATGTGAAAATCCGCGCAAATGTCAAATGTATCACATGATTAATACTGTGAGTATTACAACACGTCATTTTATCATTTTACCTAAATACAGTCAGTATCTGTAAAGAAAAAACGTCATATCATCTGCGAAAAAAATAGGTATTTCCCGCTTACCAGTCAACTTTCAACCGAAAAAAAAAAAAAATAATACAGTTTCTGTAGTAGTACTGTATCTCTTAACATACAAAGAACCTATGTACATAACGTGTAATGTTTTTACGCGTGCAGATTAGCTGATAAGCTTTATCTGGAAAATTTTTGT